ATATTACAACTGTTTCTGAGACTGTCAGTGGCAAAAACAACTTTCAGTGGATGTACTTTGACAGGTGTATTTGCCCCCACCGATCAGCTAACATTGCATGACAGCCATAGCAGCCTGTTTTGCAGCTATTTTCTCATTTACTCAGTGAAATATGGGTTTATTTTGACTAAACCAGCATTAGTGATTGTTGGAAGAGAGGAAAGTTTTATTTTGTTGCTGTCCCATTTGAAGTGTGTATTTTCTGTGAGGTAAATATTTGGTTTTGTCAATGGAGTCCGGTGGGCTGTAGTGTCCATTGTTTTGGTCTGAGATGCTGGTGTTCAAGTGCGACACCTAGCGGCTAAGTTAATTTTGTATAACCCTGAAAGTTGTTGTTGTTGTTGTAGTACTGGACTACATTATATTGAGTATAATAAGTGTTTCAAATGTTGTATCTCTCCCATTTATAAACATGGGCCATAATGTTAGAAACACCTCAATATAATGCAGTCCAGAACACCACTAACTATGACCTCATTGCTAAAACATGAATGAACGCCTCTACGACAGTGTAACTAAGTAAGTAAGTAAAGCTTTATTTATATAGCACCTTTTTGACACAGAGATCCAAAGTGCTTTACAAATAACAAATATACATAAGGGTATATCCATACCCAATCAAACATACATATGGAGCATGTAAATACAAACATAAGGAAGATAAAACAAGCGGGAAGGATAAATTAAAAGAGAGACGACAGATGAGAAAACAAACAAGGAGATCTATAAAAAGGTTTGCCTGTAGAGGAAGCGTTTTGAGGAGCTGCTTGAAACAGTCCACAGATTCAGTGAATCTGAGTGAATGGGGAAGACTGTCCCACAATGTTGGGGCTAGAACAGCAAAGGCACGGCCAACTTTAGTTTTACAGTTAGAGCGGGGAACGGATAAAAGGCAGAGATTTGAGAGGTGAAGTGGCCGAGGAGTGGAATGAGGCACAAGAAGATCGGAAATTAAACTGGTCATGCTGGTTTGTAAAGCATGGTCATGAAGTGTGTTATAGGTGATCAGTAAGATCTTATAGTTGATTCTGAATTTTACCGGAAGCCAATAAAGGGATGCAAGAACAGGAGTCATGTGGGACAGACGGCTGGTTCTGGTTCAGGCTGCATTTTGTACTAACTGTAATTGGTTTAACGAAGCTTGACTAGAGGCACGTGTAGAGGGAGTTACAGTAATCTAGACGGGAGAAAATGAATCTGAGAATTAATTGTTCCATATCACTGGAGGACAGGAATCTTTTGATTTCATAGCTGCAGGAAACAGGACTGGACAAGTTTTGTGACATGAAGGTCAAATGTCAAATGCCGGTCGAAGATGATACCCAGATTCTTAGCAGTGGGTTTAATATTAGTGCGTTGTGGACCAATAAACTGATCAGCTGCAGTGACAAAGTTTTCAGGGCCAAATAAAATGATTTCAGTTTTGTCAGGATTTAAGTGGAGAAAATTAAGAGACAGCCAGTCTTTGGTGGCAGCTAAACACTCATGGAGCGAGGACAGTTGATTCAGGTTATTGGGTTCCGCAGAAAAGTAGATCTGTGTATCATCTGCGTAACGGTGGTATGACATGTCATGGCAGCAGCTGAACAAATGACCCAGAGGAAGCATGTACAGGGAGAACCGAACTGGACCAAGAACCGACCCCTGAGGGACACCACACAGCAGGGAAGCAGGGGAGGAAACATGATTATTTATGCAGACATTAAAGACTCTATTAGTCAAATAGGAGTTAAACCAGTTTAAAGCTGTACCAGAAATGCCAACCCAGTTCTGTAATCTATCCAGTAAAATGGCGTGATCGATGGTATCAAAGGCTGCAGTCAGATCGAGAAGAATAAGGATGGAGCTTTCACCTTTGTCAGCATGCATAAGGATATCATTAGACACTCTCAGTAATGCTGTCTTGGTGCTACGTTTTTGGCGAAAACCAGATTGGAATTTGTCAAAGATTCTATGACCGCCTACCAGCTTCAGGAGCTGGTCCGCAACAATCTTTTCAAGGATAGTGTCAACAAAAGCTGAACATTATAGGCATCATAAAAGTAGACTTTATGACAGAACAGTTGTATTGGATTGCCTTAGACTGTACAGGTGTACCTAATACAGTGTATACCATTACAGCAGAAGTAGGGCGGTGTGATATATCAAATAAAGTCCATTAATTTGCGCACCTGTCACAGTTTAGGGGACTGCCGTGACTCCAGGTGTTTAGCTGGCTCTGGTTATCCGTAGTGAATTTAACGGCCACATTTACGTTCGGTTCGGTTTGTGTTTGTTGGCAAGGTGCCATCTTGTTACGAAAGGCAAAAGACAGGGCAGGCGACAGAGCAGTGTGCTACCTGACGCTAATGCTAGTTAGCCAGCAGTCTGCGGATTTCAGAATGATGTCTTAAGCAGATGTATCATTGTGTGGACCTTCCTGCTCTTTCAGTGATGACACTGATAATTAAAGTAAATGTCTGTGTTCTACTTTGAATCAAGCTGAATCATCTAACAGCCTGTAGTTATATGAGATAACCTGAGCTTGCTGTATATACATAATGATGACAGTCTTATAAGAAATATGATGTTTCAGTCATGTTTTTGTTTGTGAATAAATTGTGAATTGTTCTGCACCCAGTTCTTGTGATTCTACTGTATTCATGCTACAGATGCAGACCCATACTGACATATTGTACCTTTGTAGTTAACACTTACTATTTTTCTACCCAAGGAACAGCCTTGGCTTTCTTCTCTGTACTCGGTCCTGCTGCTGCCTTGTCTTTCTGAGGTCTGGTAGACTGAACAGTAGCTCCTTTCAGAAAGGCCTGCATGACTCCTCCTGATTCTGGTAAAAGCAGTGAACACCTGGAGAGAAACAAACCTACAGGTGTACAAACAGACACACACATTAGACAAATATTACTTAAAACCAAGCTGTGTCTGTAATATGAGAAGGTACCACCAGGGACTTAACAGTATTGCAGAATCATCTGTCAGAGCGATTGAACTAACATGACTCGCGTACGTACCAAACTTCATTTAAAAAATCGATCATTTAAAAAGGCGTTCTATGTCGACAAATAACACCATAAAGTCTAATGTTACAGTTATAAAGACCTAACGTTAACTTGTACGTTGTTTGACACTACAAGATCCAAACTCAGTCTTGTAACATTAGTCTGATTGTAAAAGAGACATTCAACAGGTTTCATTTTACAGTCGATAACATTTGCTACCAGTCACCTAACTTGTTATTAATGAAGTAAATACGTTGGTGGATGACACCGAACTGTACAGTTAACGGAGTTAAACATAATCTCAATGCCATTTTCTCCGAACTGTGTAAGTTACCCATGTCAGATGTGAGAAGAATGAGAATAAAATGAACAGTTTCTGAATAGAGTCTGGCAGCAACGTTACCGCCTCTCAGCACCGAGAATCAACGTTGTTGTGAATAATCCTAACGTTAGTAAACTTAAGTAACCGTTGACCTTCAGCATTAAACATGACAATTATTGACTCATCCTGACATCGCAGCTGCAATGAAATAACGTTACATTATAGCAGACGTTACATAACGTTACAATAGTAACTGACGCGCTAACAACAATGAGCTACGTTAAGTTAGCCTGTTTACTATTAGCTGACAGTATTAGCCAACTGTTAGCCGTTGATTCTTCCTTTATATATCAACCGCTGTTAACACTAAACTCTGACTTAAATATACCACAGTGAAAGTTACTTACTGCGTGCACAACCTAAACGATAACCGGTAGTCTCAGCGTCAGGGACAGTCCGGTTGTTGACATGTGGAACAGCGGCAGCAGCTCTGTCTTCCCGCTCTGGCGGAGAAACTTACTTCCGTTGACGATATCTCGTGTCGTCCAATCAGATGCTGCGGATGCTGGAGTTGGTCCTGCCCCTCCTTTCCTCGCTCAGGTCTCCTCCCATCCTTTTCTTCTCCTTTCCTCTCTTGTTTCCTCCCCTCCCAATATTCTCTCATCTCGTATTACTCTGCTTTGTTAATGCACCATTTCTTATCATATTATGGAAGAAAAAAAATCTGTTAGTCATTATAATGACACATTTAGTATGTCAGAATAATGACTTTGTGATATTAGTTCATTATTTTGAGATACTAAGTCAATATTTTTTGAAAGTTTGTCATTATAATGACCTTATTCCCCCCCACCCCCCACCCACCCCATCACATTGGTGGAAATGGGCTTCCATATTATATTCCAAACAGATGAAATAAAGAATAAATTAAACGTTGCATTTGTTGTCAGTTATTTATGAATTTGCCATTTAAAAAAAAACCATTCACTACAGTGAGTACAGCACACATTGCCCAGTGTTATGCTCTGCTTTGTCTGCCAGCTGCTGCTTCTGTTTGAGCAGGGTCTGTAATTGGCTGGCAGGGTGAGGCTGAGTGCAGATGTCTCTGGTTAATGGTCGTCTCCCAGGCAATCTCCACAGTCCCAGGAGCCATCAGGCTCAGAGAGAGATGCTAATGCCCCCGCCTGGCATTGTTTGTTTGCTTTGATCAAAACATGGAGCAGGATCAGCAGAGTGGCCTCTGGTAGAACTGAATGAACCCAGACAGCCAAAGCATGAATGACGGGTTGGGGGCTATTGATTTGTTTTGTTTCAGCCCTTATGAGATAATGATGGAGAAATCCGAGGCTTATGGTTATTGTCTAAAAAAAATGATCAGTTAATTTTATTTCAAATGATCTTCTGTGTTATTTCACCTTTCTTTAATAAGAATGAGGGAACATTTCAGTTTGAGGATCAGTCACTAGCTCCAGTCCATATACAGCCCCAGCTCCAGGCACCAGGATTTCTCTCACAGACCTATTAACCCCCACCGCATCCACCACCCTCCCCTCCCCTCTGTTTCTCTGTGTGTCTCCCCCGCCCTGCAGGCAGGTATAGCAGCCCTCTGATTCGTTTTTTTCTCATTGTGACTCAGCTTCTTTATTAGAGCAGAGAACCATCAAAGCAGCAGCAGCAGCAGCAGCAGTGCTTTCATTACCCAGAGCCTGGTGATTGCCTACAGTGGGAGAATATACACAGGAGCATCCTTTCTTTTTGTCCAGGTTTGGCATGTCTGGGATAGAGTGTCATTTTCTTTTTTTTGCTGTGAGGATTTTTTGACTTTGAGGCTTCTTCTCACTTTTTGGATCTGTTTGCCAGCATCCCAAAAAGGACTGATTAACGGTCTGATGGTTAGTTGACTAAACAGCTTTTTTAAAGTAAATTAGTATTAGTAAATATAGACAAACTGGCTCTGTTCTTTCATGATTTTCTTGCTTGTTTTTCTCTAACTGCCTTGTCTGCCAGCTGTCAGGCTGACAAACTAATAGTCTGTTTTGTTCACTGACTGACTGGCTGCTGTGTTAATTGTCTGGTTGACTGGCTGCCTTGTTTATTTCACCTGTGCCTGGCTCACACGCTGATTATATCACTATTTTGCTGACTGGCTGGGAGTGGCCATCATCCCTGCCACCCTCTGGCTTTGTGATTGTTTGGATTTTGGAGAAGCTGTAATGAAGGTGAGGAGAGCATAAGCCCCCCCCCCCCCCCCAAAAAATAGATAAATAAATAAAATAAAGAAACAAGAAGCAAAAGCATAGGGGAAAAAAACATTGGATTACAGCGCAAAAGACTGTGGTGGAATAAAAGAAAGGCAGGGTGACAAGAGGAGGCGTGGCGGCGGAGAGAGAGAGAGAGAGCGACGAGAGAGCGAAGGGGAGGAGAGTGGATGCAGACCCACACCCTGAGATGCTGTGCTGGCTGAGAGAAGACGAGATGTCGGTCCAGGAGCTGCTACAGAGGGTGCAGTGTGTCATCACTCATGTCGGTGAGTCGTCCCAGTCCTACCCCCCCCTTCTATCTACCTCTTCATTTTTCACATGGCTGGAGCTTTTTTTGCTTTTCAAGTGTCTCCTTCTGTACGGGAGAGCCATGTTCTCCCCCCCGCCCCCGTTGTTATAGTCCAAGTGTGGAAGACGTGTTACAAGGTCGTATCTTTTCCTGGACACTGAATCGGTTGTAAGTATGAAGGAAGCAGAGCAGATGAGAGGGAGGCAGGGACTCTCCATCCTCTCATCAGGACCACTGAATGCAGAGGGATGCTCTGCACATGGGCAGAAGAGAAACTGTGTCTTTAGGATAGGGTGTCATTGAGTTTGATCGATGCTGTTGCTTTTTCTGTGGTTATCAGCACATTCGATAAGATAAATGAATTGGTGTGTTTCACTGTTTAAATTCATTGTTAATGAGATTTGCTTGTGTTTGATTTGAGTGAGATCAGGATCAGATTTTCTGTCTTTTATTTTGAAAAGATTTACAAGAATACAATTATAGTGAACATCCTGTAGTACCTTAGTATGATTAAGGCTTTCAATACTTTTGTTATGTGCAAACATTTCTGCTGGTAAATGACTCAAAATCCCATATTTTATTTACAAGATTTACAAGATCAATATTTCATAGATTTCTCCAGCCTTCTCCTTCCTTCTCTACCTCGCTCATTTTCCCCCTTTCCTTGCTTTCCATCCCCTCTGCATTTCCACCATTCCTCCTTCCCTTCTTCCCATCCTCTGCGCCATCTCCCTTCCCTCCCCCTTTCTTCCACATCCTCTTCTCCCTCTCTCTCCCGTTCAGCGTCCGGGTTATTTCCCCGGCAGGTTGGGGAAGTAGGTTAATGTGCCACGCTGGAGACTGTCGCACGGCATCCTCCATCTCTGCACTTCCTGCATCGTTCAGCAGCAGCAGAGGGGAGTGATGGGTAGGGGGTGATGGAGGAGGATCCTTTGCAGAGCGTTGCTATGGAAACTGAAGCAAAGGGGGCCTGGATTGATATAGTGGGAGCCGGGCTGACAGAGGAGGCTGCTAACAGTGTTTGCAGGCTGCCTAAAGGTGTTGATTAAACTAGATATTTTTGCTTTCTCTGTGTGGATTTGGGGATTTTTCACCTATTAGTGAAGTCCTCTTTTCATCTTTCATTACACGATGCTCAATCATTAACCACCTGGTCATTTATTGAAATTTGCATGCTTTTTATTTCTTTTTCTTGTTCTTAGTGCTCACACTAGTCTTTTCATACAGTCTTAATGAGAATGCCACACTGCAGTTCACTAAACATACTACGTGTGTGACAGCTAAAAGCCTGAAGGTAGTTGTTTTGACCATATCATATGATCTTCATCAGCAGATGGAGTTGTTATGGAATTGCAGATGTTGAAATTTCCTTTTTTTCTCAGCACTTTAAGGACTTCTCATCCATGCTGGGTTCAAGCTTAAGTATTGACCTTGAGAACAGCAGTGATCTCACCACCAGCTCCATAGGCATTCTTATTGGTCTTGTTTTTGAGATGTTCCGGGTCAAAAGGTTCAGTTCAACAGCAAAACAAAATTTTTTTTACATCTAGAACTCCATGACAAATGCCATGTGCTGCTGACAACAAGCTCCAGAACTACCACTAAATGGATCTGGAAATAGTCATGTAGTTTTCCTGCCTAAACCTAACCAAATCACCTCTTCAAGGTTATATGAACGAGATTTAGAACATTAATATAGCTAACTATTTTCTATGTAAACATATAGTACAGTCTCTTTGCCTGTGTTGATCTTTGAGTAGAGCGACCGAAGCTCCTGTTTCTCTCATCTATGTTGGTGAATTAAAGATTTAAAGCATTTAATTCAAGATCAGAGTTGGTGACTGTTGGAACAGAGTAAAGACTAGTTTTTGTCTGTGGAGTCAGGTATAACGGTTGTTCCTGGTTAAATAAAAGCTCTATCTCTGTCGAGATCTACAACTTTTAGTGGACGTACTTACACTATGTTGTGGCTTTTGCAGCCAGTTTTGTAAGTCTTTTCTCATCCACGTCAGTGAATTGAGGATTTATTTCAACCAAACCAAGGTTGGTGATTGTTGGAAAGAGTGGAAAGACTAACAAAGACAGTTGGTGGTAAGTTTTATTTTGTTTCTGTCCACTTTGAAGTGTGTTTTTATCTGCTCAGTAAAATGTCTGAAGGTTGAATGAAGGTTTTGCCAATGGAGTCTAATGGCACCCATTATGGGATGCTGGTGCTTTGCGACATCTGGTGGCAGTGAATTTTGTAAATATAACTTTTCTCTATTCACGTGGAACAAAATATATTGGAGGAATGTATCTTATTCCACACTGTCTGACTGGGTCGTATATTTTGTGATCACCTTATTACAACCCTTCACTAAAGCTATATGATATATTTTACAGTAGTTTTTTTGGTGCCCCAGCTATTGTTTTTTTTGCATTTAAACATACTTCATAAAGTCTATATAGTAGGTTATGTGCAGTCTCTCTGCTTCTATTTGTCTTTCAGTGTTGTTCATTGGCCAGCAGGGAGCTCACTCGCTCCTGCAGGAACCACAGAGCTGTCTGCAGGACCACTGCACAGCTTCAGGCAGTGGTTAGAGTCTAACTGTTAGACTATTACCCCGAACGGCCACATGCCTCGATAATGGAATTTCCTCCTCCCCTTATTGATTTTTAAAGCAACTACAGCTCATCCTCCTCGCTCTTATGTCTTTGTGGAGACAGTCAACAAACAGCCCATCAGTCGTCTGATTGTTATGTTCGTTAGTGTCACATGGAGCATACAGCAGGAGCAGCAAGAGGCTCAGACGATGGGACATAATTGATCTAAGTTGACCTCAGCTCCGCCTGGCTGTGTTAAATTACTGGAGACTGATCATGGGGAGTGGCACATCACATAGTCATCTGATGCTGCTCAATAACCACTGCATTTAGCTCATCATCAGTTCTCTCAGTTTCAGTCAGCTGCAGGCTTCCTCACAACAAACAACAACAAAACATTAATATCCTTGTTTTGATTGTGGCTTGAAGAATTGTGATGCACTGCTTGCAACTTATAGATAGATAAATAGATTGATTTTTGAAATAGAAAATGTAAGTCAGCATTAGAGGTCTATTATTTTAGCCAGGTGAGCTGTTTCCTCCTACTGTGGCTGCTTCCAGCCTTTATGCTAAGCTAGGCTCACCTAGCTAAAAGAAATTTGCATTTGCAATTTGACTGGAAGCAACAAGAGAAACCTGCGCCAGCCAGCAACAAACACCACTAAAGATCACTCAAACACCCAACCAACTGCTAAGCTAACCATACATGGCTCTACATCCAAACTTGATGATGAGCACCATGGTATGTGATGGCCAGTGTTTTGTTTTTTTAATGTGTGTGTGTGTGTCCAGTAAGGTTTCTGGCTTTATTTTGTTAAATATTTTAGGCGTTGCTGTAAAAATCTCTATTGGAGCTCAGTTTGCTGGTGAAATATGATATATATCAACACTCCACCACCTACACACATCCACACCTACACACACGCCCCCTCTTTGTCATTGCCCATGGACCGGAACAACATGACTCACAGCAAAACCCCCTATTGGTTGCTGATGACATCACAGCAGCACCAGGACGTGTAATTTGCCGTAACGCCTGTCTTCCCCTCATGCATAATTCACAAGCACAGGGCGCTCTGTGGATGCCCGATCTAAAATGGCTACTCCTGTCCCACTGAGGCGCGCTGTCAGGGTGATTAGTGCTGCGGCCGGCAGATAAGAGCTCGCTGCTCAGACAGACAATCATATTCTTGTTCAATTTAAAGCTCCCTTGAAGCGAGCACCCTGCCCCCGCTCAGTCTGCGAGTGCCTCCTAAACTGGTGCTTTATCAAAGGAGGGTGTGTTACAGGGACCTCATAGTTGACCTTCACAGTTTCCAGTGAGAAAGGTCAGGCTGTAGGGAGGGATGATGCTCAATGTTGCCGTGTTTTGTTGCTCCGGGCAACCTAGAGAGCAGAGAGGAGGACAATATCTCTTTGACTCTGCAGGGAAATTCCTGCCCTTGAACTTAACGTATACATATGAATCATTTTAGAGAGATGCTGGACTCTTGGACAGTGCCACAAGGTAGACTAGACTGTAACACAGTAGGACTGTTGATCAACACTGATACAGCACTGCCTGTCAGTACTAGCCATGCTCTTCTCAGTCATAATAAACTTGGCCCAAAGATATATAAACAGGATTATTTAAAGTGCAGTAGCTAACGTCTATGAATTTATTTGTCATATTTGTTGAAACTTTCACTATATCCTGACAGTAGAACATGAGACAGATAATCTGTGAAAAAATCAGCCTCCTCTGGCTCCTAGTGCTCCTAATGTCATTTGCAAGAATCCACTGGGCCTGAATGGAAAACAACCAATCAGCAATATAATAAGGGATTTTAATGGATTATCTCTGTGAGTTAAGTTCTTTTAAATCATTTAACCCTTTAAAATTGACCAAATACTTTGAAAGCCTATAACTGAAGTCTTTACCTTAAATTAAAGGTTGAGTGTGTAACATTTAGGAGGATCTATTGTCAGAAATGGAATAGAATATTCATCAGGATGTTACCTCAGAATGAGCAATGTCCGCCATGTTTCTACAGTAGCCCAGAAGGGACAAACCAAACACTGGCTTTTCAAGTTTTTCATGTGTTTCACAGCCACTGTAGTTTCTTCTTAGTGCTTGGAAGGGAGAAGTGAAGCGAGGGAATTATATCTAGCGGCAATTACATCTCTCAGATGCCACTAAATCCTACACACCGGCCCTTATTGAATGACATTAATGCTATTTGGTCAACTCAAATGATTTTATTCTGTACAAATGAAATAAAATTAGTGCTGTCAGTTAAACGCGTTATTAACGGCGTTAATGCAAACCCATTTTAATGGCGTCAATTTTTTTATCACAAGATTAACGTTCTTTTTGGCCTAGCACACTTTGTAGTTTTTTTCACATGCTGTTGC